CACCTTTGGAGAAGACATCTATCGATTGCTGAATCTCGAAACCAAAGGACACAAAAAACTGTACAAGTTAATATCGAGCATAAGTGTCTATTGTCAGCTGGTCCAGGTGCCATATCTTTGCAAACGCATACTATCCAAAATGGCAATATTCCTCGGGCTCACTCATGTTCATGTGCGCAAAACAAGTGCCACCAAATTTTATGAAGCGCTTGCATTGCACGGTGACGCTTGCGACATTCCAGAAGAGAATATGGATGAGATTTTGAATCTATTGTCCGAGACAGATTGGGGTTTGCCTCTGATTGCAGTGCGTCCCATACGTAATCAGCTATGCGAACTGATGGGTATTAAACCGCCAGTAAGTGGTGCTGCTGTCGCAAACTCCGACACAGCTGGTGTAGCTGAAGTGGGTGCAGGTGTGAGTGCTGCGGTACGCATTCCAAAGTAAATTAGTGTATAGGAAAAATGAGCTCATTTCTGGAATTCTGGAATGATGCATGATTTTAATTGCAAAAACTTTTTTTGCAAAGTATTTTGACATTATTTTAATATAATCAACGTTGTTTAATGGACTGCGCGATATGCTATGCAATAATGAATGTAACAGATTACTGATTTGAATGCTTTGCGTCGGAATAATTAGGTGTTGCCGCTAATTTTTGGCAGATTACTCAAACACACAATTTACATCCATACGTTAATAAATATGATTAAACGAGATTTTTGCGTTTTTAATTAAAATTTGAAAAGCATTGTACTCCAACACCGACTTTAATAACGGACGAATGACATTTATTCATTTCCTCTCTCCACTTCCTTTCAATAACTGCACCCGTTTCATTTATTCCATTCATTCCGTGCAGATAAGTCAACAGTTCGCACGCCGCTTCTAGTTGGATTTGCAAATTCGTAACAGCTATAGTGTTTCCGCAAAATTGTCTCGCTTTATTAAGTTTAAAATACTAAAAAGTGATCAAATGTTCATGCAAGCGTTAAAGCTATTCGGTTAGCAAAAAATATAAGTGAAATGTATAGATCAAGGATATAATCAATCAATCAATATATATCAATATAATTTAATATAAAACAAAAATGGTGTATATTAGGGTATACTTTCTGCAAATAAAAGCAGTTTTTTTGTCTTATTCGTGCGTTTTGTTCGATGATGCGCAAACAAACAAACGCACACACCTGCATTTAGGTGACCGAGGTAATGGGGTGATTCAGAAGAATAATTCCATTGACAAAGTATGTAACCCAAAATAAATTGTATTGTAATTGTCAATTTACTTCAATAGTGCCATAACTCAAAAAAGCCAGTATCGATACCTGAGTGGAAGATCGACCTATCTCGGCAGCCAGTTCGAAAACGCCCTATCTCAGAAAACTTTTCAAAAACGCCCTACTTAGAATTTGATTGAAGAACTATTTTAATTTTTTTTTGAAAAACACCTTATCCAGAATTTAGTTGAATAACGCCGTATCTCAGCTGCTTTTTTCAACAAAATTCTGAAATAGGACACTCTTCAATCAAATTCTGAAGTAGGGCGTTCTTAAAAAGTTTTTTAAGATAGGGCGTTTTCGAAATGGCGGCCGAAATAGGTCGGTCTTCCACCCAGCTGACAACTGTTTGTTTGTAGAAGGATGAGCGACTAAGAGAAAAGAGCAAATTGTTTATTTAAAGTTTATTAATATTAACAATTTTTATGGTTCCCCAAAACCCCTAAAAAATGCAATGAGGGGACCCATAACAAATCGTTAATATTAAACAAATTTTATATAACCAAACCAAACAACAAACAAAAACTGTTTTTTCGCCATATAAAATACATGGGAAACTTTGAGCGCTTTGAGCCACCTCTAAATCTTTTTTGATTGACCTTGTTAAGGATTCCACTTAACCAATTAACAACATTGCTCACTCTGGC